ATTATTTTTTAATTGTTTTGTTGCTTCATAATCGACATTGGATGCACATTTTGATGTTTAATGATAACTAAAATTCGATTTTTATTAAAAAAAATATAATCGATCGCTGTTAGCCGCGTTTAATTTGGTGTACTAAATCTCCCGGAAAATGCACGGCGACTGCGAATTTCCCCGCATAGGAAGTACATTAAAAAACCAACAATGGCCACCGTAACGGCGACATAGGTTCTTCTTTATGCCTTTTCGTAAAAAAAACATGACGAATATCCTTTGAAAACGGGGGACAAACTTGACGCACCATTGCCGATTATTGAGAAATATCTACCCCGTGGGGTAATTCCCTCATGCAATCTGACTTAAAAGATCAGTGAGGAAAGTTTACATTTTCGCAATTTAGGCTTTGCATTTTCAGCACTAGTAGGTGCTCTATTGTTAATAAGCGAGGGCTTGCTAGCTTTTCCTCCATCCTTTCAACCCTTTCAATGATATGAACAAAAAACGACTAATTAACCCAGACCGGGTATCTGCATCGTTTGTTAATGCCTACGGTACAATAATTCTCGGAAAAGCCTATTTTGACTCTAATCTTATCGAAATCGACAAGGAAGAGCAAGTATTTGACCCGAAAAGCGAGGTTTAAAGTTGACATCCGCAGATTTGATAAGGTTTTCGTAACAATGAGTGTTGGAAAGAAAGGTTTTAATTTGCGTTTGTACGATACACAGGAAGATTTCATCATAATTGCGAAGGGGAAATAATATTTCCTTTGGCCTATAAAAGTTCTTTTAATTAAAATATAACAAGGGTGTGTTCTTTTACCCCACATATAAGATTATATTTATTAATCACCTATAAACAATTTTAGGCGTAAATGTTTGTGTGTTCTAAATTGAAATTTTTTTTTTATGTTTATCAAATTTCTCCGGACATATACATTTTTGTAATGTCCAACTATTTTTTTTTGTATTGATATTACTTAAAATTGCTCAATTTAAATTGTTAGATGTAAAATATAAGTTAATTGATTGATAATTTATGGACTTTACGTATTTATTTGATTCAAAAGATCCATTTTGTATTAAACACAAATACACATAAACTTGCCAAATTAATACTTTATTTTTTGTAAAATTTTATACTTTCATTTTGTATACATGTAAGTTTTGTTCGTTCTAAGTTCGAGTTCGTTGCCGGGGTTTGATCGCTTCATAATGTTCGTATTTATAATATTAAATGAAATAATTATTTAAAGAAATTATATTACTTACGAATAATTAATCAAATAATTAATTATGCTATGAAAATTCCTTTTATATGTTTTTGTTTAAGGTACATCTTTACGTCACGTTACCTTACATTAGGTTCCTGTAAGTGTTGTTAGGGTAGACAGGATTTTCCTGTTTTTATTGCTATTATAAAAGAACCCTTTCTTGGGATTTTATAACCAATTTTCTTCGTATTTTAAAATTCCCCTCACGCTTCAATTTCTTGCCCTAATGAATTAAATTAATATTAATAATATTAGTTGTGTAGAGCAAAAAATTGGAAATAGGAAGCAAGCAAAAAACAACGGAGAATTTTTTTTCCGTTTTCTTTGTTTCAATATGCAAGTTGTCAAAGTTTATAGAAAAAATCTTTTTTTTTGTATTAACCATTCAACAATCTTGAGGGTCTTTATTTTGTGGAATTTGTGCAATTACTTAATATAAAATTGTAACGAAATTTATTAATATAAAGTTTGGGGAATTTGCAATGACATCAAAACTAATTTTATTGCATACAGTTTACCTACGCCTATGGACGGAATTTCTGATTTTATTACTCTACACTTTTTTGAAATAGTCTATAAAGTCTACAAATTTTGATGGATTTAATTACTTATTTTCTACACTTAATTTTAACGTATTTTTTCTTTTTCATCACTTATATCTGTAAACCCATAAAACCATTTCGTTCTACTCGGCAACGCAGCATTTCCTTCTCCCCACCCCTTACAAAAAAAAAACGGAAAAACATTAGACCAGCAGGTCGCGTGATCCTGTTAGCTGCGCCTGCCGGAACTCCAGGGGAAGCCGGGATGAAATCATGGGGTTCTAGGGGGGAGTAAGCGCGGAAGCGGATCGAGGGGGATTGGGGAATAGACTGTAACGAAAAGTCAGCAGTCGATTTAGTCGCCGCCACATAGTGGGTTGCGTGGTAGAACTGGATTGATATTTTTTGTAGAATATATATTTTTTTATTTTGCTAAATATTTTTACGTTGCGTTAGGACTCAAAAGAAACGCTTATTAATATACAGTGTGTTATCCCAGATTGGCACTCCTAACATTAAGTTCCTACTCAAAAAGTAAAATGTCTTAGGTGATTTCAGAATTAATCAAACCTCCTATAAGAGCTCCTAAAAGAGACGGAAAGAGATCAATTAAATAGGCAAGTCAACGACTGTAAGTGGGTTAAAATTTAACGGAAACGGGAAGCAAAAGATGATCTTCATTAAAAACATAACTAATGGAGCTAATGGAACTAATGGAATTAAACCATATTTTTTTAAAAATCTTCATCATGAAGTACTAATTAGATGGTCTGAAAAAAACAGGAACATTCGGATTAGATCGTTACTGGAGGCAGTCCGAGAAGTTTGAACGTTGAATTCTCTGAATCTTCTGCAATCTTTATTACATGCTTTTCACAGTTCATTCTGTAACTCCCCAAATGGCACAATAAAGTTCATAATTATGCACTAAAATGTTGTGGTAACCGGTGTGTAATATCAGAAGTACAAATCTAAATTTAATGTTCTTGTTCTTTCTGAGTATCGCTTCAAATTTTCCAAATTAATTAATATCAAGATGTGAATGACTGAAGAAAAACACCAAATGTAATAATTCATTTTTTATCCAAACCTGTTATATCAGCCGTCGACGATGTTTCCAAGGGTTGGATATGGCATATTTGCAATTAACACCTATTTCTGCTTTCATTTTTCTATGGATTTCCAGTTTTCTTTGTTTTACCCCATTCTGTGAAATTTCATCTTTTACTTGCCATGATTTTACGGTCAATTGGCAAAGCTGTTTGGACCTATACGCTTAATAGGGTTAATACGCTTATGAAGCCCTTAAAGATATTTTCCTACAGAATTGAATAAAAGTCATCAAAAGAGTCTTTATCGAAAAAATCGCAATTTATGATCAGAAGGAATTTATAAATTAAAAAAAACACTGCTTTTATTACGATACTTTGGGGAACTCTGTTTTTTTTTCCTAAGCACTGTTCGCTATGGAACCCCCAATGTCACCTTCATTGGTTAACTGAGTTTGCCTTGAGCAAAGTTTTGTTTTTCAAAGCCTTCGTGATTTTCAAATAATATGATATACATCTTAACCTTTGTAAAGCTAGTTTGTTTTAATTTTATTGTTTGGGTGACAGTCATCGTTACAACAATATTGCGAACAGATTTTAGTATATAGGAAGAGGCATGTGGCCCGAAAGGGCCGCAAAGCGTGGCCGGGATCAAAGAATGCCGCCTTTGACGAACACATCATATGTGTGAAACTTCGCTGCACACGCGGCCGGCTCCATAATGGGCCCATTCAGGTATATTTTTGGTCGCGCCGCTCAGATTTTCTGTCAGATGGGGGCCGCGCAATAAATTTTTACGCGACAGTGTCTCGCCCAATAATGCAGATTGTTACAAGTTAAATTTGTCGGCAAATTCACGGAATGTGAGCCGATTTGTTACTTTGATACATGTAAGAACGTTGTCGGGCATTCTTCTCACAAGGGCAGCTACCAAAAGTGTTATGGTTTCTTAAATAATTTGACTTTTGGCAAAATTCAGTGAAATTTATTAAATACGTAAGAAGTATTTTTTGGGATTGCCATGGAGTCAGCTTAACCGATTACCTTCGGAAAGGAAAAACTATTACAGGAGCATACAACGCATCATTACTTGACAAGCTGGGGACAAAAATTGAGGAAAAACGGTCACATTTGAAAAAAAAATCCAGATGTAGCTCCAAGCGACTTCTTTTTGTTCTCTCATCTGAAAACTGCACTCGGAGGACCTTCGTCAGCAATTATTTTGCGAGGAGAAACGCTGGGATATGTGTATAGAATTACATGGAGACAATGTAGAAAAAAAAAAGGGAAAAAATGTCTTGTAGCATTGTTAGGTCAGAAACTTTTCCAGTGACCCTCGTACATATTGCTTGTTTTCTCATGCAACTGGTGATGATCTCTTACATACATGAAGACAGTCTTACGAAGAGCATGATGAGAAATTTAGTATTCTTGGTGCTTATATTTAAACTCACGGTTTTACCACCAAGCTAAGGAGTTGTAATTTATCCATGGTATCCGCAAGGAAACTGTATCATCAGCATACAGAATATTCATGATCCAACCTGCTCTCTTTGTTATCCAGATCCAGTTTATTGAGTAACTTTATTAATATATGATGTTGAACTGTAGCAAATGCTTTTTCATGGTCTGTAGCTTTGTAAAGTACGGTCACTCATTTTCACTGGTCGTGGAAGAAATTCTCTATTTTATGTGAAACATTCTGTTTTTTGACAGAAGCATCATTTCCGTTTCTTAATTATTTAAGTCAGAGAGTTATCTAAAATGCAAGAATAGTTTTCTCGTGAGTATGGAGGGACAAGGTGTAGAAGACAAAACATAATGTTGGAAAAATAAGCAATGTATGTTGGTTTGCAAAAATATTTCACAAAATTTACTATGGCAGGTGATGTAAGGTCATCAAAACCGAGTGGCACCACCTAGATCGAGCTTCTGAACAAGTAGGGACAAAAATAAACATTTTTTGGCACTCCGTAGTTACCATTTATAAATACTGGGCCTCTTTGTAACGTCCCAACCTATTTTCCGGGGCCTCGGCTCTATATTTTTTGCAGGCCTCAAACAAAATCGTTGTGGCACGCTCTAGAACTGCGACCAATCGCAAACGATCGCGGTGGACTTCTAAATATTTAATAGAAGGGACGTGTTTGGTTGCAGGTATTACGAGACGGGGAGCTTCAAGGCGGGAGTCATCGGCGGTTCGAAGCCCAAGGTCGCAACGCCTCCCGTGGTAGACGCCATCGCCAATTACAAGCGGGAGAATCCGACGATGTTCGCCTGGGAGATCAGGGACCGACTGCTGGCGGAAGGGATCTGCTCCCAAGACAACGTACCAAGTGTTTCATCAATCAACAGGTAAGTTTACGTAATAGTGAACAGAGCCTTTCGAAATGCTTTAAGGGCTCCGCTTTTCGAGCCTGTTTTTCAAAAAATAAACGGTTCCAGGTAAGGCACGTAAAGATTTATCAAAGAATCAAGTACGTGGAGGGAATACTTGTTGGAAAAGAAAGAAAAACTACAATACAAATACCTAAAACACTTTCTGCTAACCCTGCGTAATGAATAAAAGCAATATATAAAATGCAATATGCAATCTTATTCAGACTTTGCTAAAAAATTATAAAAATTAGACTGATATTTTAAACAGTTTACAGTTTTCCCAAACAAGATGTCGAATGCAACACATTCAAACATTTTCTCTTCATTCTTAAGAGATTTGATTTTCTGTCAAATTTCTTGTAATTCTGCATTATTGATTTAAAATATTTTAATAATTTAAGTAATTACTTTGCTGGTGAAAAGCCTAACAAATTCTATTTTATCGATATATATGTTTAACCTATTTCCGTTGGTATAATTAATCAACAAATTTCCCTAGATTATTGTTTACTTATCTAGAACTGTATCGCTAGCTAACCACGTTTTATGGTTAAATTTTTTTTAACTATATACGTACAAGGGGTAGACCAGACTCCGTAAATATTAGATCTTAACTATGTCATTTACATATTGATACCGATCGTCAAGTTAGGTCCTCATAATATATAGACAAATACACAAATTTTAAATACTATTTTTGTAGCTATAATTTAAAAAATTACATAATATGGTAAAAGCAATAAAATCAAATCAGAATCAAGCCAAGACTAGCAGGCAACAGGCAACATAAAAAGAGAGTAAAAAGTGATAAGGATCTAATCACAAAGGACATTTTTCAAAACGACAATCTCCACGGATTCAAGCCATCTTTTGCAGCCTCGTTTATAAAGATAACTCCGCAAACCATGATTGTTTAGACCTTGAGGAGGTGAATTAATATTAACAATATCATAATAAGATAATTAATAACAATAACAATAATTAATAAAATAATAATAATAATAATTAAATAATACTATAATTTTTTTAAGAAATTTCCACACGCTACCGTAATACTTTATACAAAACTTCTGCCAATCATTGTTACAGGCGGATCCTATTGTCAACTTAAAAAAGATCCCAAGAAATATATGAAAGCTCTCAAACTTATGGCCAAATGTCAGGAACACCTATAAGTTCGTCATTATCACCAGATATATTTATGAAAATTGTTGAGAAGAAAGCTTCTATAAGCTTTCCAGCTAAAACGAAAACTATGGCAACGCCTCTTATTTAACCTCATGGTCAACAAATTCCTCCCCAATATTCTTGTGCATTTAAACTCTATACTCCTTAACCTACGTCTTTCCCTTGAATTAAAACATCTAACATCAGCTCTCCTCTCAAATAATTTGTATATTAGAGATATTAAACAAGTTTGAGAGCAACGCCAACCGTGATCTTTCTTTCCATTCAAAACATCCAGGAGCTATGTCAGCACTGACTTATATCAGAGAACATGCCAATTGTCTCAAAAACTGTTCACCGCTCAGTGTTTATGGTGATCGGCCCCTGTAGCATTGAAGATCTTCCTCCCGTTACGCTCTACACATTAAAAACCGCCCCCTTTATTCACTTACAACGATCTTAACGACCACAAACGCGAAAGTCCTCAAAACCGAAATCTTATTACCTCGCTGAAAGCTGCGCACTCCGGTGCACAAAAGATTCGTCCCGCCAGGGACCGTCACATTAATTGTTCCATCAGCGCGTCGCTTTATAAACAAAACGCGGGCCTCAAACTAATAAGTCTCATTGAATATTAGATTATGCGAGCCACGGAGAGCTTTGTGAGCTTCTAATACGTCGGCAGAGAGCTTTTGCATCCGGCCAGACCCAAGTTTCGCGCTGTCGCGAAGGTGATACGCTCACGGTTTGTTGTGTACGTTTGGATTCGCATTCGGACGGATTTGTTTTCAACGTTTGAGAAATGCTGGTGTAATGACTACGTTTCTGGGAAAAGATTTTACATATGAACGTTAGAAATGTAAAGATGAACATTTTAAAAATATTTTCTTGCTAAACATTCAGGGTTATTCGGGCTGTATAGGACTGATCGCTCTATATTTGTAATTCTCGAAAATTTTGCCAGACATCTTAAAATCTGAAAATCTACCTTCAAATCTTGGGTTTGATAGCAAGACATCTAAAATTTGTTTTTTGAAATAGTTTTGGTTAGTTAGCGAGTTGTAAATTCTGCTATTTCACGTAGTTTATAGTCTTTAAAAAGGCATTTGACCTAGCACAAAAGACTTGAAGATTGAAGCACTGAAAAGATCAAACTTCGAGAGCAAAGATATTAAGCTGATAGTAAATCTCTCCAGGCAACAACAGGTCTGTACCATACGTATTCACAACCATCTGTCAGACATATTCACAATTAAAAGGGAAGTACAATAGGGGAGAATTTTATTAGGTATCAGTTTTTCATTGAGCCATTTTGCAAATATTTCACAGTTCATATTATCAACTTCCACCGTTTTCCTAACACATTTTACTACATTTTTATTGGTTTTTGATCTTCCCTCAAATCTTCAGCCTTTGGTTTTCTTCGTTTTAGACCTTTTAATCTTTTTCGATGTTCTGTTTTTTTGTCTTGCACAAAAGTGCTTTCTCTATTATTTCCTGGATATTTGTTGTCTCTCTGGAATTTCTCTTTCGTTTTCAAATTAGTTTACCAGATTTGAAATATAATCTTAATTTCCTAACTTATCAAATTTTTTTATTGTATTTTTTTATTAGTGTGGAAAGTTATACTTTGACAAATGCATTAGGTACCTATGAACGGATGAAATATAAAAAATATCTTTTTATTTTGTTTAATTTTAATAACTCCAAAACTAATCAACTCCATCATTCATTTAACCTAAGCTTATTTTTAAAAAAGTTCCCTTAAAAACAAAATCCCTTACAAAAATCTACATTTAAGGGAATAATTTTCATCAATGAGTTTTACCAAATTCTGTTCCTGATCATTGCGCATTAAAAATAATAAATAAAAATTAAATAAAAGCAGCTTTGCCTTCACCAATCAAAATTGATATATTTTATAAAAAAGTATTAAAATATTTTTGAAAATACCGAAAAATTTTATTAGAAAAAGTTTCTTTTTCGGTTTTCTACAAATTTATCGATTTTCAGGAAAATCTGGCAAAAAAAATTTTCGGCGTTTTTCCAACCATTTTTTTTTATACATCCTAATTGAAAAAGAGGAATCAAACTAATTTGACAGAAACTTCACTTCCAGGCTACTGTAATATTATTTACAAATCTTCTGGAGTCCTTCTGCGGTTGATGATGACTTTTCTCCAATCATCCTGTTGGCTTAACTGAAACTGTCCTGTTAAGTTTTAAAAAAGCCAACAGGGTGACTGTCAAAGCATCAGCAAGACGTCAACAATCGATGCAGGAGGAATCCAGAGGTTTTGTAAATATAAATCAAACTACATAGACCGAGAAGCCTGAATATTTTAGTAATGTGTTTATCTTTAAACTTATTTTCAGCAGTCAATCTTCAAATGCACCTATTGAAATCGCCAAAGTAGATACTAACTTTCAAACCAAGGAAAGTTTAGTTGATTTAATTACAATTTAAGAGCTAGCTGACTAAAAAGCTATTTTTCTATAAAATTTTTTAAATTTTGGCAGGTGAACATAAATGTTTAAACCCTTCCGTAAATTAATTAGTTTATTATTTTTAATGAACAAACTATCCCCGGGATCAAATGGGCTAAAACTCATTCATAAGAAATGTTCGATATAGGTTTCAAATTAGTTTGGCAAAATTTTTGTTTGAGAACAACTGAAATTACTTACTGTATTATTGTCGAAAAAAATTATATCTAGCACAGGTGATCAATTTGCCAGACGAGCGGAATTCACTTTTTTGTTCTCTTCGACCACGAATCACCGTAGTTGTACCTCTCAGCGTTTCATTGAAAGTAAAAAAGAACTAGGTCGGCATTATCTGTAGCTACGTTTTAAATCAGCAATCCTTCCATGTTAACGAATAAACATCGGTCGCGTATTGTTCTGTTGTTGTGAGTTGCGGCCCGCGGCCAGCTCTTAAATTATTCAAGGGGCCCAGTTCTGTGAGTCATTTAGTCTACCGCCGTACTCTAAATCACAATCAGCCGGGTACCGATCGGTAACTGAGAGTAGTACCGATCGGCTCGGTACCCGCGTGAAATTTACCGTCTCTAAGGCACATTGTCTACATCGTTACTTTAAATTCGTTTATAATGAATTTATTGCTAATTAGTTTGCGGAAAAGTCGTATGTCTGTCGGTCGCGAGTCGCGCGCGCCTGCCTCTGAAACCTAATGGAATTCATTAATATAAAATATCAATGCCCCCCTTCTAAAAGGGCCCCCCGTTTCGTAAGCCGTAACAAATCTTCTAAGGCGGCCGTAACTTTTGAACCGCGCTCGATTATAAACGATTTTCGAATTGGCTAATGCCCCGGCAAGTCACGTGACCGCGTAACGTAGCCGGTCACGTGACCGACTTCTCTACGCGTATTTTTCGCGGAGGCGAATTTTGGAGAAACCCCAACCGAAAATCAAAAATTCCAACCTGAAGTTTCAGGTAAACTCAAAACCAATCTTATCGTCCGGGTCTACGAAAGGACTGAAAGGCTACCAAAAATAAAATATAGGTCTTAGTTTACTTAGGAAATTTTTTGAAGAATAAGTTAGAATTTCTGATATCAGTCAGATCTTCTGTGAAACAACTCAGAATTCCTGACATAAGTCACCAAAATATTATGGTTGAGCTTTTAACATGCCTTAAAAGAAAGTCGCTTACTTCGGAGGTCACAGAACGTTCAGTGATTTCATTTCATTCTAAATTTTTTCATTATCTGAAATTGTTTTTATAATAATAATAAAAATTGCACTTTTTTAACATGACAATTACGGATTTGCAACTTATTTGGAT